GACATTACAGGGTAGAAAAGAAGAAGGGAATGTGACATTTTTGTTTTCGATTGAGCCTAGTCTTTAGGGAAGTGACAAATTTCTACCTAAATATTTTGTATCTTCCACCGGCCATTAGATTTTTCCATTTAAGTGGATGTAATGTTGTCCTCTGGGGTTTGTGATATCATTCTAATGAGTTGAAGCAAGGCGCTGACTAAACTAGTAGATGCTATTTGTAGTCTATATATTGTGAGTGATGCATGCATACATGAATTTCTAACCTAATATTTTTGTATTAGTGATGTTCCCTAGAAAATATGTGCAGTTGTGTGCACCTATAAGCAAATAAATGTGAAAATGACACAATAACAATTATCTACACAAACCAGCATGTTTCATGAATTATAAATTATTTTATTACTTAGAACTAAATAAACTATAAATTAATATAAACAGTTATAATTAAAGGATACCGTTATATTGTGAGTGAAAACCAATTAATACACATAACCTTGATTAGTAACAAATGAACACTCTACACATTCCCGAAGATGAGCATCTAAGTCTAAACTATATGAGAGACAGCTTGGACACGTAAATCGTCATGTAAACATGGTTCAAAATCTTGAGAGACTGGTGAATGTTATGAGTCTGTGTTTGTGTAATAGCGATGCCTATCTTTAGCTGAATATTTTGCTTAATGAAAGAACCCAAAAATTTTAACATCATTTCAATTTTTTTGTTTTCTTTTACTACTAACGCAGAGAAGGAAACACACAATTTTAATCATAAATATTAGAGATTACAAATTTTGCAAAAACAAGAGAGCTCTGCAAGATATCCAAAGCTTGGACAATCAAGATTTACATTCTCTAATCTATGCTAGAGAAGGAAAAAAAAAATAGTGATACGTAACAAAATCTTGGCTACTAGCTTACAACAATCTCAGGAATCAGAGTACTAACTCAGAAGTCAATGTGATGGCTATTTTTCTAGTGCAGCTATTTTTCTGACTGCTATTGTTTCTAGTACAGCTAAGTAACTGAGCAAATATGACCACTGAAAGCATTGTGTAGAAGAAGCTAACTAAATTTCTCCGAGGACTAATCTAGCGATTTCGGAATATTCTAGTGGAATCAAGTTTTCAGTGGATGTCTGAATATTCAGAGGAATGTTTTAAGTGAGAGAATGAAGCAATGTAGTTTTTATAGAAGTGGTGGTTGTGTTGGTGTTGTTGACTAGATTCTTCCTTCGTTCAAACTTGGCATCCTTCGTGGACCGTACGGGTTTAACTGTTTTGTGCTTTAAACTGAGGTATAGAAGTTTGATTCTGTGCGATATCAATGGTTATATTCTTGGTTCTAGAATCTCCAACAAGTCAATAATAAACCAATTGAAAATGATTTTGTTCTTTAGGACACCAACCATTGGATATTGTTTCAAAACAGTGTATTTCCTAGGCAATAGCGTCCATAGAAGTCTTGAAATTCTAGAAATAAAAGAGTCAAATAATTGATGACATAACATGTAACTAATTGAAAGTGATATAACCACACAAGAAAATTCAGAATTTTGAAATTTTCATGTGAGATTTTTTGTGTCTCAACCTTTTAGGTTTCACAAAAAAATAAATTAGAATATTTTATGAAACTAATAGTTTTATATGATTCACTTTGTTTCGTTTGTTTATATTGACAAAAAAATATCAAAATTAAAATGATAATTTGTTCCCTTTTGTTCCGATAGTAGTTTTGTGCCGACCCTTACAGAATGTGAAGTGGAGACTACTTGTAAATTTTCAACTAATTGCCAATCAACACCTACTGATATTGAAAAACACATTCAATTCAAAATTAAATCATACAACCAGGTCCACGCATGAACGGCTGATACCATGACGCGTCCCAAATCCCGTGTGAACGATCCCTTTCTCATACTGTTCATACATTTGCAGTTTGCCTCTCTTTTTTATGCCAGCAAGGCAATAATGCATAAATTATGCTAACATTCTATATTTAACTTTGTAAAATTAGTAACTACTGTAAAATTAAATCTAAATTATGTGTTTAAAATTTTACGCCTTGTAGAAAGTAAACTTTTAATTTAATATGAAACTACAGGGTAAAAAAAAAAAGAGAAAGAAAATGTCATTTTGTTTTTAATTTGAGCCTTCGGGGAAGTACAAATATCTACCCAAATATTTTGTATCTTCCACCGGTCATAGATTTTTCCATTTAAGTGGATGTAGTGTTGTCCTCTGGGGACTGGGGGTTTGTGATATAATTCTAATAAGTTAAAGCAAGGCGTTGATTAATCTTGGAGATGCTATTTGCGTCCATTTTCTAGTCTATATATTGTGATTTGTGAGTGATGCATGCATACATGAATTTATAACCTAATATTTTGTATTAGTGACGTTCCCTAGAAAAGATGTGCAGTTGTGTGCAACCTATAACTATAAGCAGATATAAATGTGAAAATGACACAGTGACTATTACAGTAGTATCTAACACAAACCAATTAATACATATAACCTTGATTAGTAACAAAAGAATACTCTACACATTCTCGACATCTAAAGTCTAAACTATATGAGAAAGACAGCTTGGACTTGTAAATGATCAAAAGATTTGTCTTTTTTACATAACTTCAAAATTTGAAAAAAAGGAGTATGAAATTAATCATAACCACATCTCATAAGTTCTAAATACAGAGACACGTCTACAAGTAGTTTAATGTCTCTATTCTCTATAAATCCCATACACTTTGTTTTGGACACTCCCATAACCCATTCATCCACCTAGACTTTTTCTTTCCCCTTTTAATTTCTCCAACATCTCTTTTTCTTTATCATCAATGTGACTGCAACGTTGACACATTTTATGAATCAAATAAGTGAACAAAATTGACTGTCCAATAGTAGTTGGTTAACTTCAATAATTTGAGAAAACACATAAATTGTTGAAAGATACTGCTTACTAGTAACTGTCGAATTACCATAAATGTCAAATTTAAGATACTGCTTACTAGTAAGTCGACTTAAATGATGCTAAAAATGGTCCGTAGGACGTAGACACTGGAGTAAGACGACAAGCCTGACTTTTATACTACATAGCTTTATTAATTTTCTTTCCTAACTCTTGTGTGTGGATATTATATGACCTCTGAGGTCCATGCGTTATGGTTTTCAACTCTTGGGTGTAAATGATATTCATCCTCAATGTCACTGGGTTGTTCCAGTTCATACACACCAATGAATGTCTAAAAATACTAGTAAGGTAGATTTGCCAATCATTTTCAGGTTAACTAATGTAGGAAAATAACTGCAAAGGAATTTTAAATAATTGTTTCCCTTTATTTATAAGAACACTTATTATAAGTATAAAAAGCAGCTTTGACATGAACGTCATATATTTTCCTTTGTAAACTTTATTTCACATCCTACAGTTTATATGTTTTTACTTTTAAGTAATAACTGTTTTGGCTTTTAACGATTTACAACTTTGTGACAGTTAATTTGCAAGTTCTAACTAACTAAGGTTCTAACTAAGGTAATACAGCCACTTGGCTATAATGGTTAGAAGATAAAGAACATAGTCCAGAAAACAGACAGGGTCAGCCTTGAGATTTTAGGGACTTAAACCAATATTTTAACGATTTCAACTAAAAATTTTTTTGTCAGATTTGAGAGTCTAAAATATTTTTTTAAAGATTTATGTACATATAACATTTTCAAAGAATTTGGAGGCCAAAACGAATGTTTCATCCGGTTTGATCCATGGCCGGACCTGCAGACAGCTACGTTTTGTCAGAAGAGAAGAGTGAGGCCAAAAAATATCAGCTCTTCATCACGCTCTCTACAAATATAAAAGACTGAAATATAAAATTAAGAAACGCTGGAAGACTAAGAGCTAATCAAAATCATAATCTCTATTATATATCGATATAATGTTACAATACTCTGATCAAATGATCAACCCAAAAATCTAAAGAAAGTCCCTTCAGAAAAAAAAAAACGTCTCTGCCGCCACATGGCCACAGAGAAAACAGAAAACTGAGATCTGAAAAAGTTGGCTGCCTCCAGATCAGAAGTCAACTAGATAAGAAGAGAAATCTGGAACCGGTGTCGATCTAGAAGGAAAACGCATAGAGAACCCACCAATCCGTATCACTTCACTGTCTCCTTGCCGTCTCGGAAGAATCCCGGCGGCGAGTTTTGCTAGTGCTGTCGTGTACTCCACAAGTAGCTCAGTGATGATAACAACAGATATCATTATCTCTGATAAATTGAAAAAATTTAAAATATAATTCTCGCCGGAAAGTTAAAAGCCTTCTTTATTATCTCTTAGAAAATGGTGTTTGGAATGGAGAGACACCATACATATAAAATCTCTTTATATAGGCGATAAATCTTAAGCTCCCACTGTGTTCAAGACCTAGCTACCACTTGCACACGTATGTCGCTTTCCCATTTTTAATTTTATTTCTTGCTTTTTTTGGTTGTTGTTTGCCGCGTGTCACTCCCTATATGACAAAACAGTTACAGTGTTGGCGACAAGACAAAACTCTTAGGTGGTTGGTAAAAAAAAGACAAAACTCTGGGTGGTTACGCACACGATACTAATATGGCATATACCATTACCATTAGCTGCCGTTCGATTTTCATATACTACTTGCTGGATAAAAGTATATTTTAAAAAATATCCCCCCGTATCTTGTCTACTTGGTTTTAGAACATTCTGTTGATTCTATAGGTTTATCTGACTTTTGTCAAAAATGCATAATGAAAACTTTGCAATAATTTATTTAATTAATTAAATCAGTAAAGTTGTTTTTGTAATCTATTTTGCCAATGACTTTTACGATTAAATATTGAGAATATTACAATAATCTTGTAGCACAAAGTGTCCTAACAAAAACAAACCATAGAAAGTGATCCATTATATAAATCACTCTTCAAAATATTTTTAAAAATGGTTGGGGACAGGTGTAACTTCTGAAATTTCATTACCTAAAAGGTTTCAAAGTTGAAGTTCAACAAGATTGATTCTACTAGACTATCTGAGTATCTGCTGCTTTATGAACATTTGTTTTTAATTTTCTACGATTATCTTAAAAATTATGATTGGAACCAGATCTTCTTATGTTCCTCAAAACCGCATGTCATACAACAAGTTGACCAATGCTTTGAAATTATCATTGAACGGTTACCATTTGGACAAAACAGAACAGATGATCAGTTGTCATAGATTAAGAAAACGCTGTCTTAATCATAATTCAATACAATAAATGTTTACAAATCTCTAGCCTGCTCATTATCCAAAAAGGGTGAAAAGAATCCTCAGCTGTCAACTCATCTTCTTGGTAAAAAAAAATAGAAGGGGAAAAAACATGGACATCACGTATCAGAAATTGACTAGATGCGACGAAAAATCAGGAACTGGCGACGATCTAGGAGGGCAATACATGGAGAAATTGCCAATCCTTACGAAGTTGCCGTCTCCTTGTCGCCTTGGAAGAATCACAGCTATGAGTTTAGCGAGAGACGTCGTGTACTCCACTAGTAGCTCAGAAATGATTACCACGGGGATCATAATCGATGAGACTTGTATATTCTCCGAAAAGAATGATTTAGAAGTTTCTTGAATTTTTTGACCAAAAAAGAAGAAGTTTCTTGAATTTTACTTCGAGAGCGCTAAATTGTTAAATGGCTTGTGAGAAAGAGAGAACTCTCTTTATTTGTTTATATAGAGAGGGAGAGGGAGACCAAAGAAGCCAGAGTTTCTCCACTTTGGTGTCATTACTCGGACTCGTGTTTCATTTTTTAATTTATTTCTCTATAGACAGTCAAATATGAAAATGAAGCGCGTACACATTAGCATTAGCTGTTCCTCTAATTATGACGATTATCAGATCTGTTTTATTTACTAATAATATACCTACCTCAGCACTTACATCACCCCTTTTTTTCTTCTTCTTCTCTGTTTGTTAAACTCACACGATAGAACCCAACATGAGCCAAACCTAACGAAACATTTACTTTAAACCCTTAAATTTTTTAAAAAACATTACGTAGACAAAAACTTCAATTTTTTTTTAGATTCTCAAATTTATAAAAAATATGTTAGTTTAATTTTTTCATAAATTGCCTAGGATCCTCTAAATCTCATGACATATCCTGCTCCAAGAAGTCTTCACATTTTTATAGCTCGATTTTCTTGTGAATGTCTATCAGATGGAGTTGATTATCTTCACTTCAGTATTTTGTTTTTGAATCAATTTACTTTAATCTTCTAGGCGCATCTACAATGCTGTGCTCTTAAAATAAAACATTTTGACATTATATATTGTTATTATTCTTTCCTATTTGTAAACGGGATGGGCAAAAATGCATAAACTCAGAAATTTTGTATTTTTCTCTTTTGATATGCTGGCAAATATGTGTAGTGTCGTTGTTTCTGGTTATTAAAAATCAACGTGTAGCTCGTTTAATGATTAAGCAATAACATCTATAATTATTTATATCATTTTCATCTGACAGGTTATTGTTTTTCATTCTCTCAGAATACTACTTTTTCAGAATACAATAATTGGTTATATATGGTGTAATGCTTTGTAAAACTTAGTAATGTTTTGTAAAATCGGAACACTTTTAGAACATGTTTTTACTTATCAGTTACGGAACTTCCTAGCCCATTCGTCGTGCCAAACTTAAGATGATAATATAAAACGGGACAAGACTTGCTTACTTTCAAGTTCTTTGTTTCCATCCGTTGTTACAAAATTCCGTTTGTCTACCTTTACCTTCCTGCTTCCAATGCGTAAGATAAGATTAACGTCATTTTCAAATAGTCCCAATTCCTAATTCCTAATTCCTAAAGTCCTCACGGTTCAAAACTGACTTATAACTAATGTATATAAATTTGCACCAAATTTAAGCAAAAAAAGAAAAAAAGAAAAAAAAACTAATGTATATAAATTCATAGACCAAAACAGTTGAACATTCGGAGTTGGAAGCTAAAGAATTTAATGGGCTTAATCAGTTAAAGGGGACTTGTCTCATATATTGAAGTCTGAAGATATGTATTACCACTTTCTCTTTACTTTTCCTCTGCTTCTGACGTCATATAAAATATAAAGGAATAAAATTATATGAATAAAAAGAAAAATTATTTTTTAACAATTTTGGTAAGAAATAAATTTGTTCTATATTTTTCTAGAATACAAAAAATGAAAAGAATTAAGAAAAAAGTTATATCTTATAAATGATAAAAAAATTTAGAAATGATAAAGAATGTATTATTCTATTTCATTCTTTGATTACCAGTTATATCCAAAATGAAACTATTACTTATTCATCATCATAAATGTGAATAAATCCGTAAACAAAATTATTTTCTTGAAGATCATTATTGTACGTCACCAGGTAGATCTTTCTTTTCTTTTTCTTTTTTTTTTTTGCCAAATTGTGAATTTTCATATAAAATGATACTTGCTTGTAGATGATACAAAAGTTTTAAATCTAATTAGTATAACCATGGCAAAAAAAAAAAAGAATAAAAAGAAGTTAGACTAGACCATAAATTTTCCGGTGATCATTAGGTAAAGACTAAAGATCATGAGTTCATCAAAGATATATAACTTTCTATTATATTTCGATACAAAAATTTACAAAATCTCTAAGAGATTCATCACAACCTACAGAAAGAAAGGCAGAGATACTCTAGTTGGAAAAAATCTCAGCCGTCACTCTTCGATTACATCAAGAAGCAGGAGAAGATCCGAAACAAAGTCGTCGCACAGATCAGAAGTCTACGAGATGAGAAGAAAAGTCAGGAAACTGCGACGACCGGTTAGTACTCGTAGGAGAAGGACAAGGCAAGATGAAACCGCCAACTCTTACGACGTTGTTGTCGCCGCCTTGCCGTCTAGGAAGCATCCCGGCGGTGAGTTTAGCGAGAGCTGATGTGTACTCCACCAGTAGCTTAGCGAGGATTACGACAGAGATCATTGTCGATGTGCAGAAGAAGAATGATTTAGAAAGTCTCGTGTTCTTGTTTTGAGAGAGAGAGATGTAATGGAAGTTTGGTGGTATGACTTGTGAGAAAGAAAGACCTCTTTGTGTCTTTATATAGATGAAAGTGTTTCTGTTCTTTATTACTGTTTAGCGGTCTTCCTAATCTACCGACTATAATAATATGACTTTTGTTTTTAAATCTACTAGGTGACCGGCCCGCACCCTGTGCGGGTATAAAAATATAGTATAATGCTGAGACATGAGTATCTATTGAGTTCAAATGTGGGAGTTAGTGGAACAATTGAGAGTTTCAATGCTGAGACAGGAGTATCTATTGAGTTCAAATGTGGGAGTTAGTGGAACAATTGAGAGTTTCAATGCTGAGACAAGATTTGCGCAAATCTCTAGGATGTAGTAGGGGTGGGCAAATCGTTATTTTTTCGGTTTGGTTTGTTTAGTCCGGTTTTAATAAATTTTTTCAACTGAAATAAACCTTATTTAGTCTGGTTCGGTGTTGTTTATGCCCAGTTCAATTTATATTCAGTTCGGGTTTGTTTTTGGATCAGTTTAATTAGGCTCTTTGTCGCTTAATTTTTTAAAAGAAAAATTATGTTTTAAAACATATACACATAAAGTATGTGAACTAAATTCAATATTAAACTGAAACAAAAAATAAAAAAGTCACAAAAAGTATACAAAAAAAAAAGTTAACTAAAGTAAAAAAAAAAATTAACATCATTAGAATGTTTTTAATAAAAGTTAATTATTAAAAAAACAAATGTAAGAAAAATATACAGGAGACAGTGACATTAAAAATGTGATAAAAATCTCATAGATATCACAATCCCATAGAAAATATGATAAAAATTTAAATATAATTCATAAGTAATATAAAATAAGAAGAACAATTATGAATTAAAATAATCTCATAGAAACACGAACANTAGAAACACGAACATAATTGACAGTATATATAATTTGACAGATTCTGTAAGAGAACTCAATCAATCAAGTATGTTTCAAAGCGCTCCAAAGCTCAAGACTTGATAAGTTTCTGCAAAGTAAATAAAATAAATTTGATGTTAGCAGTAAGACTTGATTTTACATTAAGGTATTATTTAAACAAATCAATAAATATGATACAAAGTTGCGCAAGTAATCCGCAATGAAAATAAGGTAAGTTATTAATAAAAAAATTAACAAATTACAAACATGGTAAATTACACTTAAAATCGTGAAGTAAATACTATTGAAATTGAAATTATACAACCAGTGTAATTTATTATTAAAAAATTAACTAACTGAAAAATGAAAATATTTAAAAGGTGGGTTATATGTGCTAATAATGGTGATCTTACAACATTAAGATACCTATTATATTTTCATAAATTGGTCTGCAGTAAAGATGATATCAACTTGCCCAAGCAATCCGTAATCAATAGGTAAGTTATTAATACCGAATTAACTAAAGGTAAATTATTTAAACAAAACAATAAATATGATACCAAGTTGCACAAGTAATACACAATGAAAATAAGGTAAGTTATCAATAAAAAAATTATAAACATGGTAAATTACATTTAAAATCGTGAAGTAAATACTCTTGGAATTCAAATTATGTAACCAGTGTAATTTATTATAAAAAAATAACTAACTGAAAATATTTAAAAGATGGGCTATATGGGATAATAATAGTGATCTTACAACATTAATATACCTATTATATTGTCATAAATTACTCTACAGTAAATATGATATCAACTTGCCCAAGCAATCCGTATTCAATATAAGGTAAGTTATTAAAACCGAATTAACTAACGGTAAACAAAGCAATAAATATGATACCAAGTTGCGCAAGTAATCCGCAATGAAAATAAGGTAAGTTATTAATAAAAATTAACAAATTACAAACATGGTAAATTACATTTAAAATCGTGAAGTAAATACTCTTCGGATTGAAATTATGCAACCAGTGTAATTAATTATAAAAAAATAACTAATTGAAAATATGGCTATATGGACTAATAACAGTGATCTTACAACATTAAGATACCTATTATATATGGGCTTATAAGATACTTGTTAATGTTTATGAAGTAAATCACTACCAAGGCAAACAAAATGTTATTAACACCAGATCTTTTTGTGGTCCAAAAGACTTACGGGATCACTACACCATCAATGAGTTCAGAACAAATGAGCAGTACTGGATTTCCAGGACGAGTGAACAACTTGTATCCCGCGAGTTTGCAGTCCACTGTTGCCGAGAATTGTGTTATATGAGAAACAATGAGTTCATTACAAAAAACAGAGTCTAAAGACAACATTACGTCAAACTAAGGTATTTGCACTTTGTTTGATACTTGAAGCTAAAATGAAAAAACTTACAAACAAAATATTACCTCAGGATCAGCTGCAATGGGTGTTAAAAATAATGTGGAACACAAGCTAAATCCTTCAAAAGCTCAAAATAAACATTCACCCTTCATGTCACATTATACAAGAAAAGCAAATAAGAATTAGTAGAGTTGTGAAGCTTACCTCTTCAAGAGAACAAAATCGCAAGGGATTTGACGTCTCTGAGCTTCATGATCGGTCTGCAGAAGTTGGTTTTTGTTTTAAGACCTCTAGATTCACCTCTATATATATAAAGTGAATGTTCTCATATTAATGACGCCAATGTAATATTCTTACAATAAATAATGAAATCCTTTAAGGAAAGATATTAAATGTGTATTGTCATAAAATGATATGCATATGATATGATTTTAACTTGCGCAAGTAATCAATATTAGTAAGGTAAGTTAATAAAAATAAGTTTCCTAATTAGATACAAATTNTTAAATGTCATTAAGCAATGTAATCAATATGATATCAAGAGTAAATGGTTTACCGTATTTGTAATAAGGAAACTTATTAATACATGTATTAATTAATATTCTTGTGCAAGTAATATGTAATGAGGTTAGTAATTAGTGTTGCTTTCCTATTAGGTTGTCGATGATAAAAATAAATCAAAAAAGAAATTCTAAAAAAATCCAACCAATAAGATTAAGAGAATTCTTCTGAGAAGCTCTGTATGAGTGCCATGTGGCAAATGTACTTCTCTTTTAATGTATAAGGGGATACTATTATTTGAAAAGGAAATTTGCTTAGTTGTCAACTTCTCCTTGATTTTAGGTAAATTTGTTTATTTACCTTATTTAAATAATTTCATATACAATTTATTTATTTAATAAAAACGAATTTATATTAATAATATTATATTTTAGAAAATATGTTAATTATTTTCTATCAAATTGTTTTCTTAAAATATAATTTTCTATTATAAAATTTAAGTGATTTTTCGCAACAGAGCTCTCACGTTAAAAGTTATAGCGGTTAATATCTATTTTACCATTAATGAAATTTTTATATATAACTAATTTTATAATTAAAAACGAAATTTAAAAAATAAAATTAGATAAGTACAATATGTTATTATCTTAGATAATGAAGAATAATTAATATAATAGTTTATTAAAAAAAACAAAAATAAGATAATTCTTATATATGTTATTATTATCTGAATATAATATTGTAACAACATGACAATGCTTATAGATCTTAATTTTATATACAATTGATTTTGGCTTTTAAAAATAATATCATTATATTATAAAATTTAAAAATTAAAATATAAAATCGATTTTAACTAAATATTAATCAAACAAAAACATTTATATAAAGATACTTTTAATTATATAATTAAATATTAGGTATTAAAAATTGGAACGGTTCAAGTTAATGATACCTTTAATGAAATTTATATATTTATATATAAATTAGTTAAAACCAAATTTTATGTTAGTGATATAAATTTATATGTTATTATATTAGTTATTTATTATAAATTAATAAGATAATTATCCACATTCATGCATATTTAAAACATAAGATATCTTATAGAATATTGAGAAATTGCAAGAAATAACACTTTCAAGATACCACTTTTCAATTTTACACTAACCAACTTTACCATTAAAATTTTAATAGTCAAAATACTATTAGAATTTAAGGTTTAGGGTTTGGGGTTTAGGATTTGATAGTTTAGGGTTTAATGTTGATTTTTTAGGGTCTAGGGTTTACTTTTTAGGGTTTAATGTTTAGGGTTTAAGGTTTAGAATTGTTATTTTAGGGTTGGGTTGATTTTTAGGGTTTAGAGTTTACTTTTGAGGGTCTAGAGTTTAGAATTGATGTTTTAGGGTTTAGGGTTAATATTTTATTTAATATTTATTATATATATATATAATAACTTATAATATTTTTTAGAATTAATAAAACTAAAAATAATAAATATTCGTAAGAAAATTATGCTCGCATATACGGGCACAACACCTAGTTTACTAATATAATAACAAAGCAGACACATCGTTTTCAATAAAACGGCACTTGTTGTTGTCTTCCAGTCCTCTTTTGTCTATATCTATTATTCTCGACATTATTACTATGCGACAAATTCATGAACTATCTTTTTTTTGCTTGTACAACACTACAACTATGATGTATTTGTTTGGTCGGATGTTTTATTGTAAAACAAATCATTAACAAGGTTACAAGGGAGATAGATTTTAAAAATTTACTAGTATATGATTTGGAGCTCTAGTTACATATCATTTGGGATATAATTGGAGCTTCAAGAATCAAGACGTAGATTTGATCTGATTCTTTATGGCAATATCAGATATTTGGTTCTGGTTCTCCGAGGGAGGAAACTTATAAATTTCTATTACTAAAATAGTATCGTGTGAACAATTAAAGAAGACATATCAAACTTCCGCGTTCACAACTTGGCTGCTGTAAAATAGTCACATAACAATAATATATAAATAGTATTGAATCATATAAGTTAGGCATTTTTTTTAATTCGGTATGAGTTGACGTTGACTGTAAGTCGTATCTCAATTAAATCATTGTTAATTACCTGAGCTTTGACCCAGTCCTTGATGACCCGGATACACTCGCATATTGTCAATTTTTTTTGTCACTTTAGTGTAATATTTACAAACTTTAGAAACCTAACTGTTTATGTATGGAGATAGGATGAGATGGATGCGAAACGGGTTGAATAGCATTCAATTTCATGAAAACTATATTCGCATACTCATCTTGTAGCCATGCATGAGCTTCATTCAAAGTTGCATCACTTAAGAATAACAAGCTGTCAAGCTGTAATGAAAAAAAAACTAGTTTAGTTAGAATCAACATGCCAACATCACTGAAAGACATTGCTAGGAGGATCGAAAACGAATTTTTATGTCTTTCTTTTTTTGTGCAACTAATACCAATATTGTTTATTGATGTCATATATATACCCTAAAAATATGCAGAAGTATACTCGGTTGTTTGTTGCCAGTGAAGTGGACCACGTTATGTATTTAAGTACATTAATGTTGCAGATAAATACGTATCACAATGCCGTCCGTCATCAGCAATTACCATTCTTCAAATTGTCGGTATATAAGTTTCAGACTGATATAGTTTTCATTGTTAAATTTTTTATTTCGAATGTATCTATCTAGTGACTTTTGCGTTACTCTTTTGGCTTTATTCTTTTTTTTTTCTACACATTGGTCACTGGCTTACATACAAACAGCATAAGTGATACCAAAAACACAATGTATTAGTTGACAAAAAAATACTCAATTTATCTTTTTGCTATATTAGTTTTATTTCTTCATAAGTGATTTCTGTCCAGATTTATTTTCATAAAATTAACATCGTTTTCAATCGTCCAAAGTCTTCACGGTCCAAAACTGACTTATAACCAAAGTTCAAATGTATATTCATAGACCAAAACAGTTGAACATTCGGAGTTGGAAGCTAAATAATTTAATTGGCTAGCGGCTTGTCTCAGATATTGAAGATATATTCTCTGTTTATTTTTCCTCTTTTCGTCATAGGTGTGAATAACACCGTAAAAAAAAATATTAAAGATCATCATCGTACGTAATTAGGTATAGATCAGGAGTTCATAAAAAATGTGAATAACACCGTAAAAATCTTGAAGATCATCATCACGTCATTAGGTAAAAATCAGGGGTTCATCAAAGATAATATAACTTTCTATTATATTTCAATACAAACATTTACAAAGCTCTAAGAGATTCATTACAATCTAGAGAAAGAGAGGCATAGAGACACTCAGTGGAAAAAAATCTCAGCCGTCACTCTTTCGATAAGATCAAGAAGCAGAAGAAGATTGGTATCAAAATCTCTATAAAGTCTTCAAGCAGATCAGAAGTCTACGAGATGAGAAGAAAAGTCAGGAAACTGTGACGACCGGTTAGTACTCGAAGGAGAAGGACAAGGCAAGATGAAACCGCCAACTCTTACGACGTTGGTGTCGTCGCCTTGCCGTCTAGGAAGCATCCCGGCGGTTAGTTTAGCGAGAGCTGATGTGTACTCCACCAGTAGCTCAGCGAGGATTACGACAGAGATCATTGTCGATGATAAAGTTGAAGATAACAGAATGATCTAGAAAGTCTCTTGTTCTTGTTTTGAGAGAGAGATGTAATGGAAGTTTGGTGGTATGACTTGTGAGAAAGAAAGACCTCTTTTGTGTCTTTATATAGATGAAAGTGTTTCTCTTCTTCACTGTTTGTGACATTGACTCTTCGTTACGAGCTCGACTATGCATTTATGATTTAGCTGTCTTCTCTTATCTACCGATTATAATAATATGAGTTTTGTTTCTTCATGGGTGATTTTGTACAATAACCAAAAAAAAAATTAATTTTTAGAGAGAAGGGAATAGAGAGATAGGAAGAGAAATGAAGTGAAAAGGAGATTTTTTTGTTAGTCAGTTAATTTTGTTTTTTAAGTTATTTAGCCTAATTTCCCTTTCTTCAATTCACTAATATAATAACTCAGCAAACACATCATTTTCAAGGAAGCTGCACTTGTTGTTGTCTTCTAGACCTCTTTTGTCTAGATCTATTTAGTTCTAGAGATTATTAATATTATTTTCTAGAAAACACGCCATATGTGACAAATTCATGAACTGTCTTTTTTGCTTGTGCAACACTACAACTATGATGTATTTGTTTGGTCGGATGTTTTATTGCACTTGAAGAAAAAAAATCATTAACAAGGTTTTTTTTGTCAAACATTAAAAAGGTTACAAGGGAGATGGATTTTTTAAATTTACTAGTATATGATTTGAAACTCTAGTTACTTATCAGCTGGCATATGATGGAGCTTCCAGATGCAAGTTTTGGTCTAATTCTTTATGGCAATATCAGATATTTTGTACTGATTCTCAGAGGAGGAATCATTGTAAATTACTATTTTAAAAGAGTAGTATCGTTTGACCCAAAAAAAAGAGTAGTATCGTTTGACCCAAAAAAAGAGTAGTATCGTTTAAACAATTATAAAGGACATATCAAGCTTCGCGCGTTCACAACTTGGCTGCTGCAGTAAAACAGTCAGATAAAACTAATATATAAAAAATGTTGAATCATATAAGTTAGGCATTTTTTAAAAAATTCGGTATGAGTTGTGGTTGACTGTAAGTTGTATCTGAATAAATCGTAGATAATTACCTGAGCTTTGACCTAGTCTTTGATGACATGGACATGCCGGCGTTTTCTCCATTTTTTTTTGTCGTTTTGGTTTAATATTTACAAACTGGACTGATTTGATTAGGCTACTATCAGACTCCACGCAGAGTAAGCTACAGCTTTTAGTTATAAGATATCTATTCCAGTCAATAATACTACATAGCATTTGGAGGGAGAGAAATCGAAAGAGGCATGGTGAATCTCCTTCACCAGCAACGCGTTTTAAATCAAAATGTTAGATAAGAATTTGAGGAACAGGTTCATCATTATTCAGAGGAAGGGAGATCTTGAAGGAGGAATGGTAATTTAGTTTGCCAAAAGATAGAGATGTAAAAAAGATGGAGTGTAGGGAATGAGTAGAAAAATAATAGAGATTTTCATTTTTTTTTCAAAAGATACACTTGATGTAAAAATGGTTTAAAAAAAATTAACATTCAGTTAAAAAAAAAACTGTTTATGTATGGAGACAGGATGAGATAGCGGCGAAACGGGCTGGATAGCATTCATATTCATGAAAACTATATATTGCTTCTATCAGTCGCGCACTCACTTTGTCTGGCAATGCATTAGCTGAAGTTGCATCACTTTAGAATAACATGCCAACATCACTGAAAGACATGGCTAAGAGGATCCAAAACGAGTTTATGTCTTTTTTTTTTGGTACAACTAATAGTCTAATACCAATTGATTATTGATGGCATACCCTAACAAATATGCAGAAGTCTGTTCGTTGTTTATTGCCAGTGAAGTGGACCACGTAATGTATTTAAGTACATTAATGCTGCGTCACAATGCCGTCCATCATCAGCAATTACCATTCTTCAAATTGTCGGTAGAAAAGCTTAAGATTGATACAGTTTTCATCGTTGAATTTTTATATTTCGAATGTATCTATCTAGTGACTTTTGTGTTACTCTTTTGCCTTTTTTTTTGTCTACACAGTGACATTGGTCACCGGCTTTCAAATAAACAGCATAAATGATACCAACAACTCAATTTATTAATTGAAAAAATACTCAGTTCATCTTTTGGCCAAATTTATTATCCCATGGAGAGAACTAGACTAATTCCGAAAGGGGTGGTGCAGCCCACGGATAGACCCTCACTTTGGGTATTTAAATGGACCGTGAGATAGGCTCATATCCGCGTGGCCACAAGTTAAAATGTAGTGGTGGATGCCTTCAAACCCGAGTTGCTTAATAAATCCCAAAGTTCGCCGACCACTAGACCACTACCTTGTGGTTTTGCCTGAGTAGTTGCAGCAAGGTTGTAACTTACGTCTCTCTTAATTGACCGTGTTGCTGCATTATTTCACCAATTCTGGTGCATGGCATCCCCTATCTCTTTCGATTTCTATGAAATTCTGCAAATCAATTCTGGTGCATGTACTAGAAACCATAACAATCTCGTAAAATGATTTAAATATGGAGACAAAAATAATTTTGTTGCAAAGCAAAAGTTTTGATTTCACCTTTTCCTCTCTTTTTTGTTTCATTTTTTTTTTGTAATTTCTGCTGTTTTCTTGTGCTTTTGGAAATTAAAAAAAAAAACTTAGAAATAACAAAAATTGTTCTGGAATTGAACGTTACCAAATATATTGTCTTTACCTAAACTACATTTATATGTGTCATCGTAAATGTCAAATGTTAATAAATTGAGTTGATTTTTATAGAAAAAACATTAATGACATTCTACAAAATCTTTCTTTGTGGAACCATGAAAAAAAACCCAAAATGTCTTACTATCTTTTATTTTTATTTTTTTGTGTGACATTGCGTCTTACTATCGGGAACGGAGGTAGTATGTTATTGTTGCCCATCATTCGATTATATTTCATTTTAAACATGTTTAACTATAGAGTTTCATTAGACAAATAATTAAAAGATAAATACATTTTGATTAAATAAATAACCATATTAGTTTTAATTTTTTTTTATTATAAACCAGAAATCGGAATATGATTCTGTTTTACTGAACATTTGTTTTCTAATTTTCAGCTACTCAGAAACAATTATGATCAGAGCCACTTCTGATGTTACTCAACCGCATATCATACACCAAGTTGACTAACGGTTGGAAATCATCATTGGCCGGGACAGTTACCAGCTGGACAGAACATAACATATGCTCAGTTATCATAAGTTAAGAAAGCGCTGTCTTAATAATAACCTTTTGTTATAAATTCAATTCAATACAGCTTTACAAAATCTCTAGCCTGCTCAGTATCCAAAAGAGGGAAAAAAATATCCTCAGCTATCACTCATCTACTTAATAAAAAAAATAGAAGGAGAAAAAACATCGACATTACATATCAGAAATCGACTAGATGGGAAGAGAAATCTGGAACCGGTGACGATCTAGGAGGACAATACATGGAGAAATTGCCAATCCTTACGAAGTTGTCGTCACCTTGCCTCCTCGGAAGAATCACAGCAATGAGTTTAACGAGAGACGTCGTGTACTCTACCAGTAGCTCAGAAATGATTACCACGGGGATCATGATGATCGATAAGACTTGAATATTCGCCTGAGAAGAATGATCCCTTTGTTGCAAATTGTTAAATGACTTGTGAGAAATAGAGAACTCTCTTTATTTATTTATATAGAGGTGGGAGGGAGACCAAAGAAGGCAGAGTTTCTTCCACCAGTTTGGTAGTCGTTACTCGGACTCGTGTTTATATTTAAATATGTTTCTCTTCGGAACAGAAAAAAAAAGAAGCGCGTACACATTAGCGTTAGCTGTTCCTCTAATCAAGGTACCGATTATTAAATTTGTTTTATTTACTTCTAATATAGCTCAGCACTTACATCACTTTAAAACAAAGAATAACTCAGCAGATACTCATTCTTGTTTGGAAACGAGATGTGGCGTATGTTTTTTTTGTTGTCGGTACAACATGCTAGTATAGTATATATGGTGTTGTCTTTGTCATAACAAACTTTGGTTATTAAAAGTATACGAGTAGCTCGTGTAGTAATTAAGTAATAATATATGTACAATTCTTTATGTTAGTCTGATTTGCTATGCCTGTTATTTTCATTTGTTTTAAAATGCACTAATTGGCATTGCGTATATAGTCTACTGTATTTGTAAAGTTTATTAAAGTTTCATATGTTAGTTATTCTACGGATCTTCCCATCCCATTTTTTGTTCCAAACCTAATTTAAGAAAATAAATTGGGGCCTTACTTCCAAGTTCTTGTTTCTATCCCGTTGTTACAAAATTTCGTTTGCCTACCTCTACCTTACAATGCGTTAAAATTAAATCGTTTTCAAGCGTCCGAAAGTCTTCACGGTCCAAAACTGACTTATAACCAAATTTGAAGTGTATATAGTTTACAGAACAAAACAGTTGAACATTCGGAGTTGGAAGCTAAATAATTTAATGAACTTAATCAGTTAAAAGGAGACTTATCTTTGATTTGAAGTTCAATATTCCTCTCTGTTTATTTTTTCTCTATTTCTGACGTCATATAAAATGAAGTTAGACTTGTTTATCGTCATTAATGTGAATAACAAAAAAGTATTTTCTTTTTATTTTTGATAAAACTTGAAATTAGGTAAAGATCATGAGTTCATTAAAGATATATAACTTTCTATTATATTTCGATACAAAAATTTACAAAGCTCTAAAAGATTCATCACAACCTAGAGAAAGAGAAGGGCAAAGATACACTCATTGGCAAAAAAATCTCAGCCGACACTCTTCGATTAGATCAAGAAGCAGGAGAAGATCCGAGGTAAAACCTCTAAGAAGTCTTCAAGCAGATCAGAAGTCAACGAGATGAGAAGAAAAGTCAGGAATATGAGACGACCGATTAGTACTCGAAGGAGAAGGACAAGGCAAGATGAAACCACCAACTCTCACGACGTTGCTGTCCCCTTGCCGTCTTGGAAGAAGCCCGGCTGTGAGCTTAGCGAGAGCTGATGTGTACTCCACAAGTAGATCAGCGAGGATTACGACAGAGATCATGGTCGATGATTACTATAAGGATTTGAAGAAGGATCTAGAAAGTCTTTTGTTCTTGTTCTTGTTTTGAGAGAGAGAGAGATGCAATGAAAGTTTGGTGGTATGACTTGTAAGAAAGAAAGACATCTTTGTCTCTTTATATAGATGAAAGAGTCCCACTTCTTCACTACACCTCTTTGTGACATGGACTCTTTGTTTTATTTTTATTTTACTTTAAATAGATAATTAATAACCGCGTCGTACGCGCTCAACTCCACATTAGCGTTTAGCTGTCATCTCCTGATTATAATAATATGAGTTTTGTTTCTTTTTTTGTCTACTCAGCAAAACACTTCTTTTTCAAGAAAACTGCACTTCTTTGTTGTTCTCGTCTTCTAGACCTTTTTGGCTAAATCTGATACTGTACCATTATTTTATAATATACACGAGATATCTGACAATTTCATGAACGACCTTCTTTTAGAAAATAATTGATTGTACAAAACTACAACTATGATGTTTGTTTTGTGGTTGGATGTTTTGTTGCACTTGATCAATAAGTTAATAACGAGGAGATGGATTTCAAAACTTACTGGTAGATGATTGGAGCTTACAGATGTAGATTTTTGATCCAATTCTTTATGGCAATATCAGATATCTTTTCTGGTTCTCCGAGGAGGAGACATTATATATAAATTTCTATTAATAAAAGAGTATCGTTTAAACAATTATAAAGGACGTAAGTATTGATGAGAAACATCCCATATTGGAAATATAATAATTAATCTACAACTATATAAAGGGTTGGAGCCAATCCACTAATCACCAATTGGTTTTAAGTTGGAAGCTCATAATAAACCCGAATCTATCATGGTATCAAGAGCTAAAAGACCTGGAGCCTGAAATTCGATTTTTTTTCTTTTTCTACTACTAAACAGAAGACATGGCTGAAGAATCATCAACTTCAGCATCCAACCCGAGTACCATAGCCGACTCAAATTTATCACCTTACTACCTTCATCCGTCTGATAACCCCGAAGCTCTCATCACATCCGTCTTACTTCGCGGAGATAACTATAATGAATGGTCCACGGAGCTATTAAACTCAATTCAGGCGAAACGCAAGTTTGGCTTCATCAATGGCACCATATCAAACCCTACTACAGAACCAGATTTGTCGCGATGGATGGCGACTAACTCCATGTTGGTTGGATGGATACGAACCTCTATTGATCCTAAGATAAGGTCAACTGTCTCCTTTATCCCAGAAGCACAGAAACTTTGGGAAAATCTTAAACGCCGGTTTTCAGTCTCAAACGGGGTTCGGGTCCATCAGATACGAGACGCTATAAACAATTGTCAACAAAACGGTCAAACTGTGATTGAATACTATGGAAGACTCACCAAGCTCTGGGAAGAACTTGATAATATCAAAACAACTCGGGCGTGTACGTGTGAAGCTTCAACAGACATCGAAAAAGAGAGAGAAGAAATTCGGGTCCACAAATTTTTGTTTGGCCTTGATGAGTCTCGTTTTCGTACGATACGATCACAGATTATCGACGAAGATCCCTTACCAGACATCAACAATGTTTATTCTCGAGTAATACGAGAAGAACAGCATACGAATACTGGACGATCCTCTGAACTAAAAACAGAGGCCATTGGGTTCTCAGCTCAAACCGATACACCAAAGACTGACGGTTCTCAAGTTTCAGCAATTCGTGGACGTGATCCAAACCGATCTTGTACACATTGCTCTCGGCGAGGACATGATGTCAACGAATGTTTCCTTCTTCATGGATTCCCAGAATGGTGGAATGATCCGAAGCCTACTAGCAATTCTGGAGGAAGCTCATCGAGTACTTACCAACGAGGTCGCGGAGGTCGTTTCTCTAACTCAAGTAACCGGGGTAGACGTCGATCTAATACGCCTCGTGCAAATAATACAACTTCAACTACGTCTCCTATCAACAATGACCAGATTTCACAACTTATCCAGCTTCTCCAGAATTCTCGTTCTACCATCTCATCTGAGAGATTATCGGGTAAAACACATTTATCTGATGTGATCATTGATACAGGGGCCTCTCATCATATGACAGGAAATCTGTCTCTCTTAACCGATGTTACTGACATCTTACCATCTTCCGTCAAATTTCCGAATGGTCGTTTTTCTCAAGCACTCAAAAAGGGAAAATTGGTTCTCAGTCAACATTACTATCTCTCAGATGTCCTATATGTCCCAGATTTCAACTGCACTTTGATCTCTGTTTCTCGATTACTTAAGCAGACAGGATGCATAGCCATATTTACTGACACTCTGTGCGTTTTATAGGACCGTTTTACGAAGACCCTGATTGGAACGGGTGAAGAACGTGAGGGGGTTTATTATTTCACGGGAGTTCAAGCTGCTCGTGTTCATCGATCAGACGTCAAGAATGCATCTACTTCTGAACTTTGGCACCGACGGCTAGGACATCCGTCTTTTAGAGTTTTGTCTTTGCTTCCTTTATTAGATAACCTAAGTTTTGATTCTGAGCAAGCATCATCTTGTGAGATTTGTTTCCGTGCTAAACAAACACGTTCTCGTTTTAATGAAAGTTCAAATAAAGCATCTGCTCCGTTTTCTTTGATACATTGCGATGTTTGGGGTCCATATCGTACTCCATCATCTTGTGGTGCTCGATATTTTTTTACAATCGTGGATGATTACTCACGTGCCGTATGGACCTACCTAATGTTGGAAAAATCGGAGGTTTCCTCGTTACTACAGGAGTTTATCGCTATGAGCAACAGGCAGTTTGGTAAAACGGTTCAGCAGATTCGACCTATATACCCGGTCGGAAAGGTTAATTAATTAATTAATTAGGAGTTTAGGGCTTTTAGGATCTGGGCTCTGATACCATGATAGATTCGGGTTTATTATGGGCTTCCAACTTAAAACCAATTGGTGATTAGTGGATTGGCTCCAACCCTTTATATAGTAGTAGATTAATTATTATATTTCCAATGTGGGATGTTTCTCATCAATACCCTCCCTCACGCTCAGACATCTCTAGGTCTGAAGCGTGGACAATGTTGGAATTGGTATAGTAGTAGTTATAGTAAATTAGGTCAAAGGATCTTATCGCTCTGATACCATGATAGATTCGGGTTTATTATGGGCTTCCAACTTAAAACCAATTGGTGATTAGTGGATTGGCTCCAACCCTTTATATAGTAGTAGATTAATTATTATATTTCCAATGTGGGATGTTTCTCATCAATAGTAAGTACATACTTCGTTCATGATTATTTAGGAGAGAGAGAAAAAGAGGAGAGTCGCGTGTGAGAATTCGCCCCGGCGTCCGGCTGCGCGTCTGTGCGCGTGCCGGCTCCGGTGGCTCTTTTTTCTTCTGTTTTAGTGTAGTCGTCGGGGTGGGTGGTTCGTGTTGCCGTTTTTCTCCGATATACCGGCGGATCTGGTTTAGGGTTTTGTACCGGGAAGTTTCTTTGTTTCGTTTTGGGACTTTCAACGGTGACATCTCGCCTCTCCTTGGATCCGTGGTGAGGAGATCTGAGGACGACTCGCGGCGATTGTCTTTTGCTGTGTCCAAGTCTTTTCGTTACGGGAGGTGGAGGCTACGAAAGCTCCATCGTCGCCGATTAAGATTCCGGGAGATGGAGGCTCCGACAGCTCCATCGTTGTCGGCTTTGTTTCCACGGAGTGAAGGCGTCCTTTGCCTTGCTTTGTTGGCTTTTGTTTCTCCATAGATGTTTTAAGGGTTGGTTTATATTTCTCGTTTTTATTGTTATGGTTTCGATTAGGGTTTGATGGTTGAGATCTCGTCGATGACGGTGGAAGTTCTCTGGTGAAAATGAGAGGTGGAATATGCTTTTGTTGGGGTGGTTGTGGTGAAAGACTACGGATGAGATCTCGTCACGGCGATTGATCCTCTCCGTTATTGGAGCCCCGGGTTGTTTGCGGCGAAGTGAGACGGAGCTTTGGAGTTCCGGTGAGGTTTGGTGATTTGAGGTGATGGTGGTGCTCCGGCGGTGTTCCGTTTCGGCGACGGTCAAGTCGAGACCTAGGTGACGCGTGTCGCGCTGATGATAAGATTTCACCACGTGTCCAGTCTCCTTGACGCGTGGGCCTTAGAAGTGAAGCCGGTCCGTGTGGTTAGATTGGTTTACCTCGGTTTGGGTTTAGGCCCGTTTAGCTTGTTTTGGTTTTGCCTTTCGTGTTGGGCTTGTAATGTATTAGTTGTTTGGGCTTTGGTCCTTTGGTTGTTGTTGGGTTTAGTCCCTTTATATTATTAATGAAAAAACTTATCAGTGAAAAAAAAAAAAAAAACAATTATAAAGGACATGTCAAGCTTCACGCGTTCACAACTTGGCTGCTGTAAAATAGTCACATAGAAACTATATATAAATAATACTGCATATCAATGTCATATAAGTTAGGCAATTTTTATTTTGGTATGAGTTGTTGTCGACGATAAGTTGTATCTGCATTAAATCATTCTTAATTACCTGAGCCTCGACCTAGTCCTTGATGACAAGCACCGCTTGCATATATATATATATATATATATATATATATGCCACTTTTCAGTAAGTTTGGTTTGATATTTATGAACTATATAAATATAAATGCTTACTATGGTGATAAGATGAGACGGATGCGAAATGGGGCGATAACATTCAAATTCTTTTATATATTGTTCTCAGTCGCGCATTATCTGGTCTCGCCATGCATTAGCTTCATTCAAAGTTGCATCATTTAAGAATAACAAGTTGTAATGAAATAAAAAGCTTAGTTAGATTCAACATATCAACATGACAGCAAGATATTTGTGCAACTATAGTAATACCAATGATGTCATACCCTCATATATATTCAGAAATGTATTCAGTTAAATTGGCAGTGAAGTGGACCACGTACGATAGGTATTTAATCGGGAGAAATGAATTTCAAGCCGATAGAAACGTATCACAATAACGTCCAACATCATCGGCAATTACTACCATACTTCGAATACATCAGTAGAAAAGTTTAGATTTGGTATTTTTTGTTTGGTTGAATTTTTATTTCAAATACCATAATCTTAGAGTTAAATGATTAATAAATAGAGTTTAGA